GCATCCGCCATGCCCGTTGCTGAACGTCGGGGAGGTGTGAAGCGAAAGGTCACGGCATTGGCTCGAGAAGGTGTGGGTCCAGCTGAGGTGCCTTTCAATAAATGCATGCGACGGGATTGGGCGAGAGGTTATTTGCCAGCAACTAAGGTTGTGGAGTACGCTAAGGCTGCATTTCAACAGGGTGCGAGTGGTGCTGATGTAATTGCAGGCGGTGCTCGCAATGCTCACAGGTTTCTTGTCTCTGCTTTCGGCTACCCGACTAAAGCTCCAGAACTTGAGTGGATTGAGATACCATATAAAAGTGGAAAGGTTGTTGCACATCCATTTCTTTGTCCATTGAAGTGGGTTGAGAAGACAGTTGATTCGCCCGACCTCTTCGAGGATATCATGTGTGGCCCACCTGGTGATATAACTGATTTTTGGTACAATCTTCGGAATACGCCTTTGTATCCTGCTGACGTTGCTGGTGACAAGACGATAGCTTCGAGTATACATGGCGACAGTGCGCCCACTACTGATGTTGACGGTTTGTATCTGTTGTCTTGGAGTTCGTTTCATGCGAGCGGTTCAACGATTGACAAAAAGATACCGAATACTGTTGTGAAATCTAGCGAAGTGTCAGCTGAAACCTTGAAGGTACTTGCCAACAGAATCGCATGGAGCTTCAACGTGTTATCGGATGGGTTGATGCCGAACCAGGACTGGCTTGGGCGAGACCGACCCGATGCAGGGTCATTGCTATGCAAAGGGTGGCGAGTTGCGAATATTGCCCTTCGAGGGGATTGGGAATTTATCCAAGTCTTCAATGGTTTCCCTTCGCCAACGTCGGTTCCTAACATGTGCTGGAAATGCAAAGCGTCGCCACACACTGGGAACTTGTGCTGGACCCACCACGATATCCGAGCGGGTTGGAGACAAACAATCCGCACTCATGAATCGTACGTCCGTGAGGTCAGAGATCGAGGCGCCGAACTTCCACCAATCTTTCGGATTCGGACCCTTCGGATCGAAGGAATTCTCGGAGACGCCATGCACACGCTAGACCAAGGCGTCACGCCGAGCGTCGTCGCCAATGTGATGCATGAGGTCATGGAAACGTTTGATGGCAATCAAGACGCTAGGGTGAAGGCTTTGGATACAAAGTTGAAGAACTGGTACAAAGCAAAAAAAGAGCAATACAGGATCGATGGACGGCTCACGCTCAATCGGATTAAGAAGCCAGGCCAATGGCCATTTCTGACCTGCAAGGCCGCTGCGTGCAGAAAGTTGGCAAGTTTTGCGTTGGACCTTTCGACGGAGCACAATTCAGGTTCAAGCCATGACGTGATCAGACAAAGTACATGTGAGAGCTTGGTCCGAATATATAAGATAATGGATGATAACCCTCGGTTTTTGTCAGATGCATCGCAGCAGGCGTTGAGCAATACGTCCAAGGCCTTTTCCTCATCTTACACTCAGCTTGCAGGTGCCGCCTTCGCGAATAACTTGCGCCTTTGGAAACTCATTCCAAAATTTCATATGTGCCAGCACATTTGCGAGCACGATTCTGTGTACTTCAATCCCAAGTACACATGGGTGTATTCAGACGAGGACATGCAACGGATTTTCAAGTCTGTGGCTCAGAGTGCGCATTCTGCTAACACTCCGTACGTTGTGTTGTTCAAATGGGCAGTGTTGAAGTTCGATTCCTAGCGGCGGCCGCTGAGTAAAAATTGAAAGGTGAAGATGTATGATCCCAAAGAGCCTAACAGGTCCAATGATTCCCAATATATCCCAAGGTCTCCAGTGATCAAGGGTGGGAGAGGGATGATGAGGAGGAGAAGGAGGAGAAGGAGGAGGCAGAGGAGTGAAAGAAGGAGGGGACGGAGGAGGACGGGGAGGAGGAGGAGGAGGAGGGAGAGAAGGAAGAAGGGGAGGAGGGGAGGAGGGAGGAGGGAAGGGGAGGACGAGGAGGTGCTTTACAACGACGACAAGACGAGGAACAGGGAAGTGGAGGACAGGGGCACCCGAACACGAACAAAACGAGGTTCAAAAACGGGACAAAGGGGCAAGAAGAAGAACAGGACCAGGAACAAGACGAAGACGAAAAAGGAAGACAAACAAAAGAACAAGAAGAGCAAATACGAGTACAATGGGATGACGACACTGATGTCCGCAGAACATGACAATACAACACGTGCTACACCAACCGCACGCGGCATCACGACACAACAACTGATGTAAGCACCACCACGTTACAGTGATGGCATATCAATGGAATGTCATCCGTGAAGCACTCGTCGCTCGCGTCATTTTTCTTGCGCCTACGTACAAAACGTCGCGGTGATGGAAATATGGTATGGTTTCAACTGAATACGGTCATCGAAATCGACGCGGTGTGTCGTTTTATTGGAACTGTCTCAAACAAGTCTGCATATCGCAAACGATCACGCGCTTGATTTTGATCGCGTGCGTTCGGAATACGGCGCGCGCCCTACAAAAAAAGGATCGAAAGATCCTCTGGGGGAGGGAGGGGGGGAGACGATCGCGCCGCAGAAGAGTCAGGGCGGGAGGCTGCTTCGGCCCTTCTCGGCCCAGAGGGGGGGGCCTTCGGGCCTCGGGGCCGTCCAGAAACGGCTCGGGACGACACCGGGGTCCCGGGCAGAGGGCCGGGGCTTCCGGGGCCGCCGTCCGGGAAACATCCGGACGCCGCACGTCTGGGCACCCTTGGCGGCGCGCAGGAGTGGTATAGGGGGAGGGGGGGAAGGCTTCTAAAGGGGCCCCACGACACACAAATAAATACACACACACAAGTAAACATATCCTGCAGATGTTCCCATACTCTCTGAGTTTCTGTCTTCCCGCCCACTGCCCATATTTCCTATATTTTCTGGGGAGTCGAGGATTCATTTTGTCTGTGTGTTTTTTCCCCTCCTGACCTTCTTAGAAGGAGGCTGCTTCTGGGAAGGCGCCGGCCCTACATCTGAAGAGAGAGGCCCGCACCCTCTAGGGAGCAGGGGTGCTTGCAAGAAGCCCTCCCCCCTCCCCCCTCCCCCTCTTCCCCCCTCTCTGCGCGCGGCTGGCTGCCCCCACCAACCAGCGATTCTCTTGAACCGATGGGAGGCGGGAGGAGGAGGAGGAGGAGGAGGAGGAGGAGGAGGAGGAGGAGGAGGAGGGGGAGGGGGAGGAGAGGAGGAGGGAGGAGAGAGAGAGAGGAGGAGGAGGAGGAGGAGGAGGAGGAGGAGGAGGAGGAGGAGGAGGAGGGGGAGGAGGAGGAGGAGGAGGAGGAGGAGGAGGTGGAGGAGCAGGCTGCGGAGCGTTCCGCCACGTGCTCGACGGATTCCGAGGCCTACGCCTGGCGCCCATCGGGTTGCGTGCATCGTCGATCGGCGAGGGCAGGGCCCGGCAGGCGCCGCAGCACCTCTGCCGGCCGACGTGCGCCAGGGGAGCCCGGGCCTCCAACGACCCGCACCTCCAGCGGCTGATGCCTTCGATCCGGGCGCTGTCCCTCGATTGCGGCCTGGCCCCGACATCATAAAGCATTCGTCCGAAGCAAAAGTCGGCGGTGGACGCAGTCGCAGCAAAAGTCGACCGCAGCCGCGCTTCGCAGTCGCCGGCATGCCGACGGACGTCTGGGCGCGCAGCTCCAGATCGGGCAACAAGCAGGGCCGGCTCGGCACTTGCAGTCGGCGGTGGACAAACCTCCCTTTAGTAAACCTCCCCTTAGTGAAAAGGGCCTGGGACCGAAACCGACGGACCTGGAGCCGCAAAAATGGCGGCCGCGACGCCCCCTCGCGCACCGAAAACGGCCAATTCCTGAATCGACGCGTCAGGGTGGGAGGTCGATCCACCTCCGAAAAAGAACAGACCCCGGGGCGACGGCCCGGACCTCTCGGGCCGCAGATTGAAAAAACAGACCGGCGGATGTCAGGGAGCACGTGGGAATACGGAGTCGGTTTGCCGTTTTCCTTCGCCTGGGGCCCTCGGTAAGCCTAGAGGGCCCGCGCCCCAACGACTCGGGACGACACGCCATCCCTGAATGGGGCCATGGGGCACACAAACAAATACACACAAATAATAGGATCCCCCATATGTTCCCATATTTTCTGGGTTTTCGTCTTCCCATATTGTTTGGGGAATCGACAATTAGTTCTGTCTGTGTGTGTTTTGTCCCCTCCTGCATCCCTCAGGATAAAACGCCAGCCCTGGGGAAAGGCTCGGAACTTCGGGGGACATCGTGCGCAATGCAATCGAAGGGTAGCAGTTCTAGGATGTAGAATGTACCCGTTCCTCCTCCCCAGACCCCCGACGTTGTGATTTTCCCGAAGCTCTAACTTTTGTCACAACGTCGGCCCCCAGAGGTCTGGACCCCTTCCCTGGGACCGGCTTTTCATCCTGAGTCGTTTTCTGTCGGCCCCGGGGCCCGGCGAGGGCCCCCGGAGGCTGAAAATAAGGAGAACCCCGCCGCCGTCGTGTGTGTGTGTATGTGTATGTGTATGTGTGTGTGTGTATGTGTGTGTGTGTGTTTTCATATATATTTTTTTGTGTGTTTCCCTATTTTTGTTGTTTTTCACCCCGGCCCGCCTCCCGGCCGCCTGAGGCCCCGCCCGCCTGAGCTCTGCCTCCCCAATAAGAGCTCTGCGTCGCCCGCCTAGCTCTTCACCGGAAGAGGCTCGCTCTCGACCCGCAGACCAACAAGTGTTGTTTCTTTACACGTCGGTCGGAAGAAGTAGGTAAAAACATGAAGTAGGAAGGCGGATAAAGTGGATTGGGTCCAGGCCCTCCCAGAGAATAAGAAAACACAGCAACAGCAAGCCGATTCTTGAAGTAGGAAGGCGCTTGAAGTAGATTGGGATGTGGGAATCCAAAAATACTCACTTTCAACGACCGACGTGTATGCACAGCGCGAGGGGGTCTGAGGGTCCGAACTCCCTCCCTCGGCGAGCCGGCCGACACGCCCCCGCGCCCTGCCGCCCGGCCCGAGGGCTGCAGCCTCCCCCCCCCGTGGCCGAGGCCGCGACCTCCGCCAGCTGGCGCGCGAGCCCAGCGGTGCCAGGCCCCGACCTTCGGGGAGCTGCTGGCACGGAGGGGGCGCCAGCAGGCGGGGGGGGTGGAGTGATCGCTGCGACGTTCGGACGGGGGGGGGAGGAGGAGGAGGAGGAGGAGGAGGAGGAGGAGGAGGAGGAGGAGGAGGAGGAGGAGGAGGAGGAGGACGTGGAGGAGGAGGGGGAGGAGGAGGAGGAGGAGGAGGAGGAGGAGGAGGAGGAGGACAACAACAATAACAACAAGAAGCAATAACACAAATAAAGATAATACGAATAAGAATAACAATAACAATAACACTATTGATGATAAGACAAATAAGAATACGAATAACAATACTGATAATACTAATAATAATAATAGTAATAATAATAATAATGATAATAATAATAACAATAATAACAATAATAATAATAATAATAATACTATTAATAATAATAATAATAATAATAATAATAATAATAATAATAATAATAATAATATTAATAATACTAATAATAATAATAATAATAATAATAATAATAATAACAAACGGCTTTGCGCTGTGGGTCTGCTCACCTCCCTGCTGCGAGGATACCTCTATAATACAACAACATGGAACTACCTCGGACAGTTCGAACGACCGAAACGCACGCTCGAGGTCAGGGTAAAATAGCACTGTGCAGCCTCAAGCTCGGACGAGCTTCGGAGACCAGTCGCAAAGGATTTTGAGCAGGAGGAGGAGCAGAAAGAGGACGAGGAGGAGGAGAGGGAGGAGGAGGAGGAGGAAGGAGGAGGAGGAGGAGGGAGGGAGGAGGAGGAGGAGGATCTTCTCGCGCCCTCCTCCTCCTCCTCCTCCTCCTCCTCCTCCTCTTCCTGTTCCTCCTCCTCCTCCTCCTGCTCCTCTTCATCCTCCTCAGGGAATGGGGGTGAAGAAAGGGGCCCCGGCCAACGAATGCGAGGTGGCCCAGTCGCCAGAGACGGCGATGGCCCCGGGCGGCGAGTACGTACTCGCAGAACCCCCCCCCCGTCAGTTGTGTCCAGCGTCGGTGGTCTGGCGCTTGCTCGAAAAGCAGCAGCATGTTTCGCTCTGCGCTTCCAGGAGCCTCATAGGGTCTACGAGACGCTCCCAACAGAGCAAGAGATATCTACATACACATATATATATATATATATATATTACACATATCCATATCCGAGAGAACGCGTTTCACGGGCGCTTGCCTGGGGAACATTCGGCGGCGAGTTTCGAGCCCGGGGGTGGCCGTCCCCCCAACACTCGGCGCCGTCGATCAAAATCAGGGGGGCTCCCCTCACCCCCCCGTCCCGACCCCCCTCAACCCCCCCCCCCTCCCAGGGGGGGGGGTTCAAAACCTCCCCCCCGCCCCCTCGGCGCCAGCGCCTGCGCTGGCGGCCGCCAGCAGCGCCCACGGCGGTGACGCAGCGACGATTACCGGAGGCGGCCCAGAGGGGAAGGGGGGGGGGGGTTCAAACCCCCCCCCTTCGCGCCCGGCGCCGGCGCGACGGCGGGGACGCAGCGACACTTACCACCACTACCACCACCACCAGCACTACCACCACCACCACCGCCTCAACCCACCACCACCACCACCACCACAACCAACAGCACCACACAACCACCACCACCACAGCCACCCCCATCACCACAAACACAACCACAACGCACCATCACCACCACCACCACAAAAACCCACCACCACAACCACCACCACCACAGTCTACCGCACCACCACCACCACCACCACTACCAGCGGCATAACCCACAACCACCACCACCACCACCACAAACCACCACACCACCACCACCACCACCACCACCACCACCACCACCACCGACACCACCACCACAACAACAAACGTCCAAAGACCACCGCCACCACCACAACCCAACACCACCACCACCACAAACCACCACCACACCACCACCACCACACCACCACCACAACCACCACCACCACAACTCACCACCACCACCACCGCAAAAACCCACCACCACTACCACCACCACCACAATCTACCACAACCACAACACCACCACCACCGCCACAACCACCACCACTACCAGCAGCACAATCCACCACCACCACCATCACCACCACAAACCACCACACCACCACCACCACCACCACCAGCACCACCAGCACCACCTCCACAAACACCGCCACAACCACAACCCAACACCACCACCACCAACACCACCACACCACCACCAAACACCACCACTACCACCACACCCACCCACCACCACCACGAACCACCACCACACAACCACCAAACCACCACCACCACCACCACCACCAACAACACCACTACCCACCGCCACAACCACCACCACCACACCAAACCACCACACCACCACCACCACCACCACCACAACCACCGCCACCGCCACCACCACCTCCACCACAACCCACCACCAGTTCCACCGTCGTCCTCGTCGACGCTCCCCGCCACCGCCGCCCGCCGCCGCAGGCGCCGGCGCCGGCCCAGAGATGGGAATCGTCGTCCCCGCCGCCGTCGCCAGCCGCCGCCGACACAAGCGCCGGCCCGAGGATGTTCGAGCCGGATCGACCCAAGAGGGTCACGGGGCCCGAAATGTGGCCAAATCGCTCGTCGCCAGGACCTCACGCGAGCTGTGGGGGCTGCGCATCGAGCAAATGATACCGAGGGATGTCTCGGGACTTGGGTGTTTGTCGCCGCCGCTGACGCGCTCCTCGCGCAAGGGAAGGGGGGGTCAAGCGCCGACCCGAGAGGCCCGCAAGCGCCTACGAAGGTCATGCTTCCTCTTCTTCTTAGTCCTCCTCCTCTCTCTCCTTCTCCTCCTACTCGTCCTCCTTCTTGGGCTCGGGAAGCATCGCCGACGCAGCTGTTCTGTTCTCCTCTTCCTCCTCCCATCTCCTCTTCCATTCCAATTTCTTATGCGTAACTCCTCCCTGTCGCACCCCAAGGACAGTCGGAAGGGCAGGATGGTCGTTTCGCCTGGGACTTCCTGACCATGTCATCCTGAAGCCAAAGGAATGGCAACCTGTTCACAGATGGATGGCGGGTGGTTTCCAAAATGTGGCTCCCGCCTTTCTAGCGCCGCGCACAGTCGTTTAAACAACATCCAAGAATCTATCGGGTTGCGGGCGGGTCGTTTTCAAAATGTGGCTTTCGCCTTATCGCCGCGGACACTCGTCTTAAAACTGCGCAGAACGTTCGCGAAGGGAGGGCGGTTCATGTGGCTCCCGCCTTTAGCGTCGCGCGCATTCGTTATAGAAAACTGCCAGATGTCTGCACAGGGAAAGCGGCTCCTTTTCAAACTAAGGCTCTCGTGTTCGCGCCGCGCACACTCGTCTTAAACATGACGGGATCTGATGGTTAACGTACCAGAAATTGTGTTTTGGAACAGCTCAGGACTGTGAGGGCGCGACAGTTACGATGATTCGCAGTGCTGAAAGTCCAGGCATGGTGTTCTGCCACGGATTAAGATCTCCAGTACGCAAGGATGGTGCTGAGGTCCCGAAAACGGAGTTTTGGCACGCTGCCCAACTTTAAAGCAGTCGTCTCCCCACGGAGCAGATCCCATAGTGGGAATGAATCCTTGTAAGGGCATATGGAGAGGGAGCTTGGAAGGAGGGTTGATTACAACATCGTTGATAAGACAGGGCGCACACGAAGGAGAAAACGAGGAAAGTCAGTCATTAGCGGTGTGTCGGCACCTTTCCTCCTCCCCCCCGTTCTTTGACGTTGAGCAAACTTGAACCCTCAGATTGTAGCGATCTTGACGTACAACGAGAACAGCGGTGGCGATCCGAACTAGAACTGGTGGCAACGATCTAGCAAGGCCAGCGTAGAACATTGAAAGACCAAGCAAAAGAGACAAGCATCGAAAGAAACCCGAGGGCATTCTGTATACGCTGGCGACGCGAAGTGTGTGGTAGAGAAGGAGGCCGTGTCGAAGAGCACGAGAATGCGAGGAGGCCAGAATCGAGGGAGACAACGAAATACGCTTGCACAGTAACTGGCCTATGAACAATACGCAGGATCAGATCATCGCCATCGTTTCCTCCACCTCCACTGACTACACCGCCCGATCACCACCATAGTAAAGAAGGCGACGAGTGTGCAGCTACAGCTAAGGGTACGGTAAAGGCTTTCCTAGTGGGTAGCAGAGACGTCCTCAGTCGTATAACTGCCAGTGACTGAAGTGGCGACTGTGTGCAAACATGTGACGCGCTGTGGGGCCAACTCCCTTGGAGTAGGGGGCCCAGATCTTGACTGCACCTTCCCAACTCCCTCTCCTGACCACCTAATCCCCCTCTCCTCCTCCTCCTCCTCCTCCTCCTCCTCCTCCTCCTGCTCCCCTCCGCCTCTCCTCCTCCTCCTCCTCCTCCTCCTCCTCCTCCTCCTGCTCCTCCTGCACCTCCTCCTCCTGCCTCCTCCTGCTGCTGCTCCTCCTCCTCCTCCTCCTCCTGCTCCTCCTCCTCCTCCTTCTCCTCCTCCTCCTCCCTCCTCTCCTACGCACTTCTCGATCGCCCCCCTCCCCCCCCCCCAGACCAACGACGTCGTGATTTCTCCACAACGTCGACCCCCAGAGGTCTGGAACCCCTCGACAGGACCGGACTTCCGTCCCTTGTCGTGTCTTGACGGCCCCGAGGCCTGGCAGGGGCCTCAGAGAGGACTGGCGCGACACCTCGCGTCGTGATTGTTGGCGCCGCGCGAGGGCGTCTGGGCCCCGCTGCGCAACGCCCGGCGACCTCTGCCTCGCGGGGCTGCCGGAGGCGCCGTTCGCTCCTCGCGCGTCGCACGCCGAGGTCCCCGCGGCGGCCTCTGCGGGCGGCCCCTCGCCGGCCGCGGCGGCGCCTGCCAGGGGAGGCTCGAGGAGCGAGGGGGGCTCGAGGAGGATGGGGGGTCGATGGGGGCTCGAGGAGGATCGACGAGGCTCGAGGAGGCCAGAGGAGGCTCGGCGAGGTTTTGGAGATCGACGAGGCTCGGGGAGCATCGGCGAGGCCCGAGGAGGCTCGAGGGGGCTCGGCGAGGTTTCGGGGATCGACGAGGCTCGAGGAGGATTTCGGAGGCCCGAGGAGGCTCGAGAAGGATCGACGAGGATTGAGGTTCGACAAGGATCGAGGAGGCTAGAGGCTAGAAGAGGAGTGAGGATCGAGGAGGCTCGAACATCGATCTTTTGTTTTGGGGCGTATTTTGTTACTCCCTGGGCCCTCCCAGACAAGGCCCCCGGAGGGAGGGAGCCTCACCCTGACTTCGGATGCGCCGTACTTTGGTGGATTTTCCGTCGTCGCAGTGCGTCCGACACACACATCCCGAACCATGCGAACAAGTCGTGCGGGACTTTCCGCCCCAGAAAGCAAGGCGGCTATCTCTGCATAGTGTGAATGAGCGATGCCTGTTGTTTTGTCCACAACAAACATGTTGGGCGGGACTACTGGAAAAGCTGCCGCTGGCCTGGGCACCCACACAGTAGGGGGAGAGGGAGCTCGGCCCACGGAGGGGCGACAATTCGGGTTGACCCCCGAGGCGTCTGGAGGGCCAGAGGGTGCCCGAGGGCTGACAAGTCGAAGAGAGGTGTTGGCGATCCAGACCGGTGAAAGGCCACTCCTGGCGAGCCGTGGCCCTCCCATGGGGCGCTCCTCGGGCGCCTGGTTGCGCTTATGACTGAAGGCCAGGGGACTCGATCGGCGGAGGGCAGCTCGCGATTCGGGTTGCGACTCGTCGTCGTCGTCCTACTCCTCCTCCTCCTCCTCCTCCTCCTCCTCATCATCATCATCATCCTCCTCCTCCTCCTCCTCCTCCTCCTCCGCCTCCGATTCCTCCTCCTACTCGCTATTGTCCTCCTCCTGCTCCTCCACCTCCTCCTCCTCCTCCTCCTCCTCCTCCTCCTCCTCCTCCTCCATTCTCTTTCCTTTATCAATAACCTTTGCCTGTCGCACCCCGAGGCCAGTTTTTAGGGAGTGCCGGGCGTTTCGTCTGAGACTTCCTCACCACTTCTGATTCTGAAGCTTCAAAATTGGCAACAGCTTCGCAGATGGAGGGCGGGTCTTTTTCAAAGGCTCCCGCCTTTAGCGCCACGCACATTCGTTTGAAAACATTGTCAGAGTTTCACGCATTGTGGGCGACCCGTTGGCAAAATGTTGCTCTCGCCATTAGCGCCGCGCACACTCATTCCAAACATGTGCAAGAGTTTCACGTATTGAGGGCGACCCGTTTTCAAAATATGCCTCTCGCCTTCGCGGGGCGCACATTATTTGTAAACATTGGCAACAGTTTCACGTATTGAGGGCGGCTAATGTTCAAAATGTGACTCTCGTCTCAGCGCCGCGCACATTCGCTTACCCAAGAAAACTATAAGAGCTTCACGGCATCCCATCATCAACGTACCAGAAACGGTATGTTTAACGGATTCGAGATTGTGCGGGTGTAACAATTATGTGGATGATTCGCTGTGTCGGAGTCCCAGGAGTGGCGTTCTGGCGCAATTCTGGATCGTCACGACACAACAGGTGGCGTTGTAATCCCGAAAACAATGTTCTGGAATGCTTCAGGATCTTCAAACGGTTGTCATCCAACGAGGCAGTTCCCTCAATGGAAGGGAGCCGTTGTATGGGGCCTACGAGGAGGGAGCTTGGAGGGAGGCTTTATTCAAACATCGTTGATGACTCCTGGATTTACACTGGTCCTCCTCCTCCTCCTCCTCCTCCTCCTCCTCCTCCTCCTCCTCCTCCTCCTCCTCCTCTTCCTCTTCGCAATAAAGAACGTCCAAGGATCCGAAGGAATCCTCAAAACCGCGCAGCGGGTGGGGGAGGGGGCGACAACGAAATCTGTTTCAAAGCGACGCCTGAAAAAATGCTGCGGGGGGGATCGACATCGAAGGGGCTTGAAAAGTAGGGCGGGAAGGTCCGCCCTAGTTGCGAAATCGCACGAGACGTAGGGCGTATCCGAAGTCAGGGTGCTCGGCGGCGGTATTGCCCGAGGTGGCACCAACCAAAGCTCTGGGAGCCTAGACCTTTTTTCGTGAAATTCTAGACGGACGTTTGCTGCTTGTTCTTGTCGTTCTGTTCGGCCTCTTGGGGCCCCCGCCTGGCATTGGAACGTCAAGAGACTTCTCGTGTGACGAGGGCACCAGACACGCGGCATCCTGAGTGCTTCTGCAAAGCCCCTCGGCCAAATCGTCAACTCATGGATGGAACCATGATGAAAACAGCTCCTTCCGGCCACGCCGTGAAACAGCAAGAATCCAGATGCTCGCCACGACGTGTGAAGGCGCCCCGTGATAGAACGAGAGAGAGAGAGAGAGGGACAAGGGGAGAAAGGAAGAGAGAGGGAGAGAAAGAGGAGAAAGATGGAGGCGGACAAATAAACCAATACATGTATACAGATAGTGGGACAGGGGGGAAGAGACAGACAGAGAGAGAGAGAGAGTGAAAGGGAATATACAAATCTGAACACATGCATACGTAAACATTGATACATAAGTCTACAACTCTAGATGTACATATGAGTGTACACCCTCTAAGGAAGAGAGATCGATAACGTGAACAAGGAGGGAAGGCTATAGATATAGACTTCGAGAGAGAGAGAGAGAGAGACGGAGAGAGGCCGCAAATCAGAGCGGCGAGAGGACGGAGAGGACAAGGGCTCTGGAGTCTAGAGGGCCGCGGGGGCAGCCCGAGCCAGAGACGCCCGACAAAGCTCTGCCCTCGCACCTCGACCCGCCGACTCCCAGGAGCCTCCAATCGGCGAGCGCTCGCCGGCACCGGCGGCCTCCGCCGCGAGCGACGCGTCGGCTGCCAGCGCCGCGGGGGCGGCGCCACCTGCGGCGCTGCCTGGCGCGGCGTCCATCGCGGGCCAAAGGGGCCGAGACAGAGCACGCGGGGCCAAACCCCTCGCTTCGTGAACAGATCACGAGCGGCGAGCAGATTCGTACCTGACCACCTACCGGACCACTCCAGCCCAAGCCGAAGGCCCGAATTTCGGGTTGGGGGGGGGGGGTACGGGTTCCAGATGTGTTTTTGTTTCAATGTTCCCCGACCCCCCCCCCACTGGGAATGGAAGGCAAATCGGGGCCTTCGGGTTGGGATGGGGTGGGTTGGCGGGTGGTGCGTATCCGCGCCCTCGCGGTCTGTATTCGGGAGTGCGATCCCGCGTGTTGTTCCGCGCTGGGCACCCGCGAAAAAAAGAGTATCCGCGCGGTTGTGGTCCAGATTAGTCTGGCCCGCGGGTTTCTCTCGCCCAGGAGAACAAAAAAAACACTGCGGACTTGAGGTAAAACGATGACTGGGAGAGGCTGTGGAGATCTCTGAGATCCAGAGGAGGAGGAGGAGGAGGAGGAGGAGGAGGAGGAGGAGGAGGAGGGGGAGGAGGAGGAGAGAGGAGTAGGAGTAGGAGTAGGAGTAGGCGTAGGAGTAGGAGGAGGAGGGGAGGAGGAGGAGGAGGAGGAGGAGGAGGAGGAGGAGGAGCGAGGAGGAGCGAGGAGGAGCGAGGAGGAGGAGGAGGAGGAGGAGGAGGAGGAGGAGGAGGAGGAGGAGGAGGAGGAGGAGGGGAGGGAGGAGGAGCGAGGAGGAGCGAGGAGGAGCGAGGAGGAGCGAGGAGGAGGAGGAGGAGGAGGAGGAGGGGGGGAGAGGAGAGGAGGAGGAGGAGGAGGAGGAGGAGGGAGGACGAGGAGCGAGGAGGAGGAGCGAGGAGGAGGAAAAGAGGAGCGAGGAGGAGCGAGAGGAGGAGGAGGAGGAGAAGGAGGAGGAGGAGCAGCAGGAGGGGGAGAAAAAGGAGGAGGAGGAGGAGGAGGAGAGGAAGAGGAGGAGGAGGAGGAGGAGCGAGGAGGAGGAGGAGGGAGGAGGAGGAGGAGGAGGAGGAGGAGGAGGAGGAGCGAGGAGGAGCGAGGAGGAGGAGGAGGAACTTTTGGGTTCCACGCCCGCGCCTCCTGAGCGGGAAATCCCGCACTCTCGCCTGCAGCAGAGGGAATGCAGGCGAGGTCAGACCGAGCTCAGTCGGAATCGCTCGGACCGTTTGAAAAAAAAGGACCAGGCCGCAACGGCGTCTCGTCCTCCTCAGCGGCACAGGAGCCGCAGACCCTGCACAGCGTGTCTCTTGGAGACACGCTGGCGCGAGAGCCCGCTCTCTCAGCCTCGGGAGAGAAAAGGAACCGAGATGCTTCTTCTTCTTCTGCATCAACAGAAGGGTCGGCGGGCAAAAGGCGCCCTACTCCATCCCCCGACAAGGCAGATGGTTTGGTGCGCGCGCTGCTCCGCCTGGCCGTGCCTCCAGCACCAGACGCAGAGCTGGCACCTTCACAGCTCGGCAAAGCACAGAATTCGTTGGCCGTAGCACAAAGGTCGTCCCTGAGCGCACGGCACCCCACTCCATCCCCCGACTCGGGCGAAGGTCTGGGGCACGACTCGCTCGGGGCCGACGGAACGACAGGCGCAGCCGCTGACGAGCCAACAGCGTCGTCGACGGCCAGCATGCCCGAAGCGTTGAAACACGGGATGAGATCCTCCGTGTCTACGCGCACACCTGCCTTGCGCTGCTTATACTGGGGGTGGAAGCCTTTGCACACGTAATCCCACCCATGCTTGCCAGCGCGGGAAGGCTTGAGACACTTTAGGGAAAGTCTTCTAACCTGTCCACCGCAAGAGTAGCACTTGCACTCCAGGCAGATAAAAAAAACACCGAGCCATCCGAACACGGGAAAGCAACGGCACGGTGGCCTAGCGCATCCTGATGAGCGGCGTGGACCAGGGAAACCCTGGGGCAGGAGCCTGGAGATGGCTTCAGAACGGACCGACACCCACGTAAACAATGAGCGCATTTCCAGACCCCTCCCCACACATGCCACACTTGCCCGTCCTTCTGAACACGGGATGACGGGAGGTGAGGCGCTCCTTCCACATCCGAAAGGTCTAGGGGGGGCCAGTGCACCAGGAGATTAACAGCCAGACGGAGCGTAGCCTTAGCACGAGCAACCAATCTGCCAGCCTCCTGAAGCAGGCCATCGCCCCCAGGGCGAAGCAAAACCGCCATCTTAGCACCAGCGTCCGCGTAGTGATTGCCACGCCGACGCCAGCGCTCTGAGGCTGAGATGTCAGGGGCCTCTCTATCGAGGTGGACCACAACCTTAAAGCAAGACGCAAGACACGATCATTGAGCATGGCACTGCAAGAAAACACCAGACCAGCATACATACGCTTCGGGGACAGCTGAACGGAAATGTCCCTACTGGCAGTGTTGACCACATTACTGCAATCCGAAAAAAACCTGACATTCAGGAACAACGTGGGCCACAACATTCGTCCAGGTGAAGGCACTAAACTCAGCACTTTGAGGGGTCTGGGGGCAAGGGCTCCAAACGGGAGCACGCAGTTCGGCAATCAGGTCGCCAATCTTGTCTATCATACAGACAGAGCTAGCAGCCTAGCCTAGACAACTCACGAACCGTGTGCCTAGTACACGAGCCATCAACAAACAGGTCTCCCCAAAGCCTGTTATGAACTGGCGCCCCATCGGGGCCAAACTCAGGAATCAGTGTCGGGCCATCGTCGTGCTCAGTGAGGGCCCTGGGATACGAATCGGCGGGGTGCCGAAAGGCCCCGGAAATGAACACAAAATACTCGTCCAGGTTACCAGAGGCCTTAGCTGAGAGCGCAGCTTCGATGACCCCTGGCTCGATTAGATTATGGCGATTCCTAGCAACAGGCCCAAAAGGACACTCCCGGAGACGGTGGAAGATGGTGTCTCGGGCTCCACAATGGACACAGTCAGGCTCGATCAAGTAACCCAGGGATTCCGCACGGGCCGCCGTCATGATAGCTTCCATGGAGAAGGCCCGAATGCAGGCCTTTTGCAGAGGCGTGAATTTCTGACTGCGGACCGACAGGGCGTCTCTGACCACGTCGAATCAGAGGCGGGACTTAATTCCCCGAGCCGCCGCGGCATCCCGCTCCAACATGCGGAGGTACCCTTCTCGGACCAGGGGCCCGACCAACGTCGGAGAGAAAAGCCCGAGGGGGATCGACCTCCCGAGGTCGTCGACAAGAGTCATAAAGTCGCCCATCCTCCAGCCGAGGCGAACGAGTGGCATCCGCATGGCAGAGATGGGACCCGCGACGCTCCTCCAACTGCAGGAGGGACGGGAAAATATCGCGTGCCAAGCACGCCGCAAAACCGGCATAGACAGGGCCCATCTGTAGGCCGAGGTTTGACGAATCCATATTTCCTTACTCCATCTGAGAACTGGTGCTGTCGCCATCCGCCAAGTCGGGTCGTAGCCCAGAATCGCGCTGACCGTCAATGGCCTTAGCCGACTGTGCGGTCGCACGACCGAAAAAAGGCGGCGGCGCAGCAGGAGCAGGTCGTTGTCGATCATGCCAGTGACCTCAGCTCCATAAGAGGCCCCAACTCGGGGGCCCGCCGAGAAGACCTTCAGGGCGGTGTGCCTGCTGACAGCCTTCTCCTGCCGCGCCAGCCCACCCTCTCTCTGCCTGACTTGGCGATCCTCGCCATCAACTTGGCCGAACGGCCCGCTACGCGCACAGCTCGGTCCGCCGTGAAATCAACCCCGAGATTGACAGCCGCCCCAGAGCAGTGGTTGCACAAGTTACGCAAGCTGTGAAGGACCTGGGTGCCAACAGACTTAGAGCTAGCCACGATCGCGGTTTTGTCGGGGGCAAACGAGCATCCGAAAACCTGATGGACAACCTTATCGAAGGCAAGGGCCCCCTGACACCACCGAGTTCACAACCGCCCTGGGACGACCCGTCGAAGAAAGGCCCTGGCCATCAATATAGACGCCCAACGGCGTCGCAGGGGGCAGGGGAATGCTGTCGTATCCCCCAAGACAATACACGCGAATCAACGTCGTGGCCATCGGACAGCCAGCAATCACACCATACACGCAGAAGTAGGGGCCTTCCAACCACCCGCCGAGGCTGAGGAATCTACCGACTCTGTAAGCATACAAACACACCCGAGCGATGACCATCGGGAAGTGATGCTGCCTACACCTGCGCCCTAAAAGGTCAAGGTTGCTGTTCTCATAGAACTTAGCCATTTCCAAAAAAACTAGAGCAGCTGGCCTCTCCTCTGGACACTCCGCTTCGGCCGTAACCGACTGACGCCACGCAGCGTCGGAAGCCCCCCTGACTTGGCCCGCAGCCCAGTATCCTCGAGGGTGGTCAAGCTCCCAGTTCAGGGCCCAGGAGCGCCTGCAGCGCCCCAGACCCTGAACCAGGAGCAAAAGACCCCAATGGGTCTGTACCCCCCCGCGGGCTTGGGGAGCAAAGCCAGGAGCACCACCGATATCTGGGGGGGAAGAACGCCAGTGGCTTCAACAACTCCCGATATACGGCTGAGACAAGCGAGACCTTCGCCCGACAGCAAAGAGAAATGCCTACAATGAAAGCCGTCAAGCGAAACCGCCGACGCCGACTAATAAGAGCGAGAGATGCCCCGAAGCGTCTGCACGCCAATGTGAGGAAGCGGATCCAGCCTCTCAAGCGACGAGGAAGCCCCAACGCCAGGCCACCAAATCGACGAGAACCTGAGCCCCTCCGACTTGAGTAAGGAAAGGAGGTCCGAAACCACACTGCCTTCAGCCGACAGATGGCTGCTGGCCACCCACGGTGAGGGGTCACGCAACAACATGTGGACTCGCTTCGCTCCTGGGTTGGCTCCTACATTCAACCAAGCCTTCCAATCGGCCCGAGCCTTGGCAAGAAACGTGGACCCCGCGGCCTTGGCGGCCTCATGCACGCGCGTGTACACGTCAACAAAAAATCAGGATCAGAGGAAGCCAACACCGCTGACGCCACCAGCTCGAACAGGGGCGCATAGTCGTCCTTAGCTTC